CTTCGCACCGCATGTGCGAAAACACCAGAACCAGCAACTTCAGAATATGCACAAGTCAAATTTTCCATCCGTTAAGCACCTGAAACTCACCCGAGGCCCCCCAGGACCTCGACCAAACATACCAACCAATCCTAAAATACCATACGAACTTAGTCGAGCTCTCAAATGACCTCAAACAATGCTAAAATCATGAATCATCCTCCGATTCAAACTTAAAGAACTTAGAATTTTTCAAATTCGACAACTGATGCCAAAACCTATCAAACCACGTCCGATTGACCCCAAATTTTGTATAGAAGTCATATTTAATATTACGGACCTACTCCAACTTCCGAAATCAGAATTTGACCCCGATATCGAAAAGTCCACTATCGGTCAAACTTCCCAAAAATTCGACTTTCGCCATTTCAAGCCTAAATGAGCTACAGACATCCAAAACACATTCCGAACATGCTCCTAAGTCCATCCAACGGAGCTAACGGAACCGACAAAACTCTATTCCGAAGTCATCTTCACACAGTTCTGACTATGGTCAAAGTCCTAAGACTTAAGCTCCCGTTTTAGGGACTAAGTATCTTGAAACATTCCAAAAACCAAAACGAAGCCTCCCGACAAGTCACAATAGCAAAAATATATGTGGGAGAAACAGTAAAGAGGGGATCGGGGCTATTACTTTTAAAACGACCGATCGGGTCGTTACAACAGTCTCTTTGTGAGGAACATCTTCAAGATGCCCTTCATACCTTAAAATATATTTGTCGAGATCCGGGTTTTGGAATATTTATGTCCCCGGACTTCTTTTCAATTACTTGCTTTTTTTGACTTCGATTAGACTTCTTTCTCCGACACACGGCGTTCTGTTAGTGGGTTTTTTCTGAGACTTGGCGGAAGTCAAATTTCATGGAAATCCAAGAAACAACCAGTGATTGAACTCTCTTCTACTGAAGCCGAATAGCGTTCGATGTGTCGCCTTGTTGCAGAACTCACCTGGGTTGTTCGCCTTCTCCACGGTCTCTCTGTGTTGCCTTCTCTTCCAATTCCGCTTCATTGTGACAGCCAGGCAACGATTCATATAGCAAAAAACCCAGTTTTTCACGAACGAACCAAGCATATTGAGCTTTATTACCATTTCCTTCGTGAAAAATTGCTAGATGGTCTTATATCCCTTTTGTTTGTGCCTTCTTCCTCCCAGCTTGCCGATCCCTTCACCAAAGCTTTGGCTGGACCTCCTCCCCGATCTCTTTTGGGAAAGTTGGGTGTCCGTATACCGGCCTCCCACTTGAGGGTGGGTGTTGACAGAAAGGCAATCTCGAGCTCTAGTGAATCTAATTCCAGTGATGAATGTGGCTGATTCATTTTTCGATCTGGTATATGAATATGAAATAGGGTGTTGTAAAAAGACCAGAGTGTTATATTTTCTAATTTGGAGATAAGCAGATGAAGACGCGTGGGTAGTAGTATCATATGCTAAAGGAAGAGCCAAATGTCCAATGTTCTAGAAGATATTATTTTTTATAATATTTAGTAGGTAGCTGTAATCATGTATTTTTTTTTTATTTTTATTTTTTTTGTAGGTTGTTAGGAAGTTGATGATTATATTCTTTTGTTGGGTCGGCGGGGCTCTTCCAGCCTAGTCCATTTTATTCCTTTTGTAGTATATAAATAGAATAGGCTTGTAAAGTGTAAAAGAAGAACACACAGAAAATGAAAGCTTGAAAGTTTTCACAAATATTTCCTTTCAATTGCTTTAGAAATTAAGTCCTGTTTCACATTCTCCTCTTCTCATTTTAAAATATTGGTGAAATTTGGTCCTAATTCATGACATGCAGGCTTGAAGATGACTTCTACTTTGATTCTAAATAAAATATTTTAGTAGACTAAATGGTCAAATCTACACAATATATAGAAGTCGAGATGCATTTTTTCAAAAATTAGTGAGCTAAACCATCGCTTAACAATTTTAGCGATATTGATTTTTCCAGGAAACTAATTAGTCCGAAAGAAGTATAGTTCGATAGCATTTCGCGCGCGCGCGCATATATATNATTTTAAGAAAAAATAAATATTTGAAGATATTTATTAAAAAATAAAAATCTGTATCTTCAAAAGTTTGTGGGTTTTCTGCGAGTTTGATTTGATTCAAAACAGAAAATAACCTCTCTTCTTTTTAAATATTTAGGATTAATTTTATTCTAGAGAAAATTAATGGTCTTGGTAACCAAACAAATTTTTGGTATTCTTTTAGAATTTTTTTTTCAAAGGTAAGATTGAATTAAAAGTATAAAGGCAGATAAAATAGATCAATAACGAATAATACATGAGTAACCTTGACCTTTCCCTCTTTTTTTAATATATGGATAAAACTCATTCTAGTTGCAATATAGATTTATACATGTATAAATTAGTTTCGTGATGTTGTTTAGTCCTTGTTGAAGTGCTGCCAACGCATGTAGTTAGGGGCGGAATCAGACTTTTTACCAATGGAATCAAAATATAAGAATTACCATGCTAAAATTTTACAGGAATTCAATATTATATTATATATGCACAAAAAAAAAATTTACCTAACTAAATAATATAATTATCCAACGAAGGAATATCAATTAAAACCCCTTTAAACAAAAGTGGCTCCGCCACTGCTGTTTATTTTTCTCCTTTTCTTTTCAAGCCTAATATATATGATCCATTTCCATTGCTATTTCTAACAATACTATCTATTCTTTCTGGTCAAGAATTTTTAATTGCTGGTCCACGACTACACATATATTTATCTTACAGAGGATGCGACAAAATATGTGTATCATTGACTATTCTCTTTATAAATATAAATATATGATTCTACCAAATATATATATGGAGCAATGAGCATGGACCATAGAATATGAGCTGAAATTAGTTAAATTGCAGGGGACATTGTATGAACAGACCACTGCGACTTTGACAATAAAATTGTCACAATTACATATTATCTCGTATTCTAGATATTAGTAGATTTTATCAACAAAATTTGTTTCAAATATTTGACGTTCTAAAAAAAAAAAATAATAAGAAATCACATTTTTTTTAATTTTTTTTCTAATTTACCCTCACTATTCATAGTAGAATGTTGAAGGGTAATTTAGACGGATACTCTATAATTAGAACTACTAGATATCTTTCCAGAGATGTACAATAACCTTTTAAAAAAAATATAATAGATCAGTAGAACTATATTGCATATATATGACAACTTCTATTTAAAGGTCAAATTATTATCCATGAGTTTGGTGAGGTTTGAGTGGCCTTATTTTCAAAGTTAGCTCAGTTTTCTACAAAATCTTAAGAGTGCGTCACATACGCATACCGCATTCCTTTACCAAGTTCGGTAAATAAACTAACTAACTAATTGGATTTTCTGAAATGTACAAGTCTAATTTAATTGTAGATGTGATTTATCTCCCTAGATTGAACTATGAATAGAGAAAATAGTTAGGATTTCACGAATAAAATGGGAGTGTTTTATGTCCTTTGGAGACTATACAACATTTCAATAGTCCTAATATTTAGTGTCGCTTGGTAATGCTAACAAAGCAAAGCTCTTTGATTGGTTAATTTTGCCCTTTAACTATTGGATATAGGAGAATTATATCCCTATTTAATTTTGATCTCAGAAAAATTTTGTTTGTACCTTTTACATAGTGTAATTTTCTGGCAAAAAGGATTCAATTGAACCCAGTGTTTTAAAAGGCGTGAGCGTAAGGCGAGACGTTTTACATATGCCTCAGCGAGGTGTAAGCCCCGAGGCACGGGGCGTAAGCCCCATAGGTATTNAGAGGAACAAAAAGGATGACTAACTTTCAATTTGAACTTTGAACTTGCTGCTATGAAGGAAAATAGAGCTCTCTTTGTATTTGTAAAAAAAAATTAAATATTCGTTGCTTTTGAGAGATATTAGTAGACTAGCGGACAAGATAAAGAATTGGGAAAGACCATGAATTGGGGCTTCGATCAATAAAAAAAGTCTTGACTTTTAAATTTAATACATTTTAGTTCCTTTTTAAAACTTTTGAGTAATTACTAAGCTGAATTTTTAAAATTTATGAAGGATTTATTCAACAAATTTTGTTTTAATTTGAAAAAATCTCTAGGGCTTACGCCTCACTAAAAAAACTCGTCCTGAATGCCCAGGCGTATGCCCCGAATTGTTGGGCGTACGCCTCTTGAGACTTTCGCCCCACACCATCGCCCCGGGGCGTTTTTGGTGCGCCTCGCCCCGAAAACACCTTTTAAAACACTGATTGAACCACCTTCTCTAAGGGTAGTTACGCCTACGCCCCTGCCTCTACCCTTAACTAGATATTTCGGATTAGAACCATTGGAGTAAAGAATCTTTCAGTAGTGGCACTTGGCATTTGGTCGGAGACCTGATCTTTGGTCATATAGCCATAGCCGTGTGAGAAGTCTGGTACTCTATTAAGAAGAAAATTCCCTGATCGTCTGTCATATGCGCTGCCCATATCCTGAGCCTGCTTAGAAGGGACTCAATAATGGAGATCTACCTGGTGTGAATCCTTATTATGGATCAGTGGGGTTCAAATAGCAAATGGTTAAACCATTGACGAAAAATATGCTATCTACTTTGCGGTTGGATTAGTAAATACTCAAGTTATGTTGACTTTGATATTTAATATTAGAACAATATGCTATCTACTTGGATAGTTTAGTTCTCTTTCTTCATGACCTGAAAGCAGACATGAACAATAGCTTTAGATAATACTAGAGATTTTGAAGTCAAGGGAAAAAAAATATCATTTTCATATATTTGTTAATAGCCAATGGGCTGATTGATGAATCATCAATCAATAAATAATGAAATAAACAAAATAAATAAGTATTAAACAAGGAAAATGTCAAACTACAAGGTATACTGTTGTTGAACATATTTCTTAAACTATATTTGTCAAATGATTCACGTTTTCCTAACCTCTTCTATGGAAAAAGAAAGGAAATGGGACTGAATAACCAAAAGGGATGTTTGAACATATACTTTTAGGAAGCCTATTGTTTGAATTTCCAGAGAAGCTCAGGCTACTAAAGAAAATGGCATGGCAAATATGGGTATTTTTTCTGTTTCTGATGTTTAGAATGATGCTTTTACGGCAAGTTTTTGCTGAAAATGATACCTTAACTCAGTCACAAGAATTGTCGTTGGATCAGACGCTTGTCTCTGCTGGCAAAATATTTGAGTTAGGCTTTTTCAATCCAAGTAACTCGAGCAAACTATATCTCGGTATATGGTTCAAGAATATTCCTGGTAAGAGGATTGTATGGGTAGCAAACAAAGAAAATCCAATACCAGCTTCTGACTCTGCTGCAATCTTGAAGATTGGAATTGAAGGGAACCTCAGAATTGTAGATGGCAACCAAAATACGGTTTGGTCAACAAATGTCAGTGTCCAGTCTAATAATACAATTGCTGTGCTAACAGATAAAGGGGAATTCATTCTTAAAGATACTGGCTCTGGAACATCTTTATGGGATAGTTTTAACTATCCTTGTGATACCTTGTTATCAGGAATGGTTATAGGATACAGCAGCAGGACCAGGGTGAAACTAGTCTTATCGTCGTGGAAAGCTGAAGATGACCCGTCGCCTGGAAATTTTATTGCTGGACTTTCGGTAGAAATGCCACCTCAAGGCTTCACTTGGACTAATCACTCAACGCCTTACTGTAGAGGTGGCCCGTGGGATGGAGGGAACTTTATAGGCGTACCTGATGACGAAAAGGGGTATGCAAGTGGTATAAATATAGTATCAAATAAGCAACAGGAATCTGCCTTTCTCAGTTTGAATACTTTTAACGATTCGTATGTTAAAATCATGGTCCTAAAACCATCAGGGATATTGCAGATGATGCAATGGGAAGAAGAACTGAACGCGTGGAAAGTCAGATGGGAGGCACCAGATAATCCGTGTGATGTTTATGGAACTTGTGGTCCTTATGGTGTTTGTGATAAGAATAAGTCTCCAATCTGTAATTGCTTGACAGGATTTGGACCAAAGTCGACCGAGGAATGGAGTAGAGGAAATTGGACTGGTGGCTGTGTGAGGCGAACTAAACTTGTATGTGAAATCGTTACAAGTGGCATAGCGCCAAAGGGATCCAAAAATGACAAGTTTTTGCAGTTGAGTGAGATGAAACTGCCAGATCGCTACACATATTTGTATGATTATGGTTCTCAGAACTGCAAAGAGTGGTGCCTGAATAACTGTTCCTGTGCAGCCTACGCATATCCAGATGGAATTAACTGCATGGTTTGGATTGCAGAAGAACTTATGGATGTTCAGCAGTTTTCATATGATGGTGCGGATTTGTTTGTTCGTCTTGCTTATTCTGAACTAGGTAAATTCAGTTCTCACCATTATGCTCGGATGTTTGAAATTTTTATGTTGTCGCCTTTTTGTAGTACAGTCAGACCTTCTATAACGGCATCCTTATATAATAGTCATTCACTATAAAAGCCAAGTTTCTCTTGAAACTGAGTTTTATGTTATGTTATAATATATGTCCTCTATAACAGTACTTCACTACAGCAGCCAAAAAAATAACAGAACGAGGATATTATAGAGAGTTTTGACCGTAAAACATAATACAGTTTCAGATGAAGATAAAAGGAAGGCAAAACTTATCATCGGCTTCACAACTGTTTCAAGCATTCTCATACTAGGTATCTTTGGATGCATTTTCTACAGGTGGAAAGCAAGTCAAAGAGGTAAACTATTCTCGTGATTTCAAGAGTTTATTGCAGATCATAGTAATTACATAGACTAGTACCATTATAAAACTTTTAAACTGCTTTCTTATATTATAGTTTTGACCTACAATGTCTGCTCACATGTGGAACCAAAATAAAATCAGGAAATAGAATAAATAGAGTTAAAGACCTCATTCCGGCTGATACATCTACGGACAATTTGTGGGAAGAGCAAGTATTGCGAAAAGATTCATCAGAACTACTGTTTGTTGATTTTGCTAAGTTGGCAATCGCAACTGAGAATTTCAGTGAAATAAATATGATTGGAGCGGGAGGATTTGGACCTGTTTATAAGGTAATACCCGTTCTGTTTGTCGAGTGATTTACAGACGAATAACATCTGCTGATGTGAAAACTAAAGCCATCATTGCGGATATCATACAGGGAAAACTGGAAGATGGACAAGTAATAGCTGTGAAAAGATTATCTAGTTACTCTGGACAAGGAATTAAAGAGTTCAAGAATGAAATCTTGCTAATCTCCAAACTGCAACACAGGAATCTCGTTAGAATATTGGCGTATTGCGTTTATGGGAAAGAGAAGTTACTAGTTTATGAGTACATGGCTAATGGAAGCTTAGACACTTTGTTGTTTGGTAAGTGGTTCCAAAAATTAGTAATATATCTTATGATAAGGAAGAAGGGGAGTCTTGGCATAACTGGTAAAGTTGTTGCCATGGGCTCGAGCTGTAGAAACAGTCTCTTGCAGAAATGCAGGATTAGACTGCGTACAATAGACCCTTGTGGTCCGACCCTTCCCCGGAACCCGCGCATAGGGGGAGTTTAGTACTAGGCTGCACTTTTTTTTTTTGGAGTTTCATTGCTTTCTTCAATTGTATAACTATTTTTGATGTGCTGTTATCATTAGATCCAAAAAAAAGCCATGAACTTTCTTGGCCAAAACGTTTCAACATGATTCATGGAATTGCTAGAGGGCTTCTTTATCTTCACCGCGATTCTTCATTAAGGGTCATTCACAGAGATCTGAAGGCAAGCAACGTTCTCTTGGACGATGATATGACTCCAAAAATCTCAGATTTCGGGTTGGCCAGAACCTTTCAAGTGACTCAAGAACTAAACACTCAGAGAATTGTGGGAACATTGTAAAGTCCTTTGATTTTGCAAGCAGAAGTTTCTCTTTTCGCTCATCTTGTAGCTTTAGACTATGAATAGTTCATAATATCCATAATATCAAATACTGACACATATTTATACAAATATGTTGCAGCGGTTATATGTCACCTGAATATGCCATGGGAGGACTATTCTCTGAGAAATCTGATGTCTACAGTTTTGGTGTTTTGGTACTGGAGATTGTTAGTGGCAAAAGAAACAGAGGATTTTATGACCACGACAGGCATTCGAACCTTCTTAGTTATGTAAGTCCAAAATTAGCCGGACCTCTTTCAACAAATTCAGTATTCAAGGTTATCTACTTATCCCATACCAGCGGTATTAGTGTTAGTCTTGTGTTTTATTATTATTATTAGATTTCTATTACAATATATTATTCCTTTCGCTTCGTTTTCTTATTATCTTGTTACTGCTTTCTTTTTCCTTGAGCTGACGGTCTATCGAAAACAGACTCTCTACCTTCAAGGTAGGGGTAAGGTCTGCACATACATTACCATCCCCGGACCTCACTTGTGAGATTATACTGGATTTGTTGTTATTGTAAGACCATCTACTTATTTCCAATTTTAAAATAATTTCAGGCATGGCAGCTTTTGACAGAAAGCAAGGCATTAGATTTAATGGATAAAACACTTTCCTGCTCATTTTCTCCTGTGACAGTACTGAGATGCATACATATTGGCCTGCTTTGTGTCCAAGACAATGCAGCTGATAGGCCATCAATGTCATCTGTTGTTCTTATGCTAAGTAGTAGCGAGATGGATCTGCCTCAACCAAAGCAGCCTACATTTATCTTTCAAAGATGGTTGTATTCTGATCTTCAATCACAAAGCAGCAAAGCTCAGTCCGTTAATGATATGACTGTATCAGTGGCAGATGGGCGATAACTGAAGACCAAAATACGAATTATAGAATGAGTTTCAAGATTGACTATACCGTTCTCCTTTATGTGTACACAGCTTGTCTTAAGCTAGTTTATTCATCTAATCAAGTCCATTTTTCTTCTTCTCTTTTTCTTTTTTCTCCATAAGGACTGCCCTTAGCCAAACTGATGCAAATGGATGACAATATGTTTGGTTTGTAAGTTTAAGCCAAAATATGATTCCACTTGGGCAGCATTATGCTTACGTTGAGTCTTTGCTGCATCCAATAATAATAATGTGAAAACTGTGGCCATAATCTAATTTAGATCACATAGTTCTGTGCTAAGCAGAAAAGCTATGATTTGGCTAAATGAACTGGCTAGGACGGAAGCTCATGGGAGGGGTAGAAGCGCGCAGGGGCAGAGGGATTCCAGAATAAGCAAAAACTAGAGGAACTGAATTTTTACCCTCAGGGTGTGTTTGGTGAAGTAAAATGTGTTCCTTGGAAAATGTTTTCTTGGAAAATAAGTGGTTTCTTATTTATTTTCTAGTGTTTGGTTAGGTAGCAAAAAATACTTTTGGAAAATATATAATTTAGGCATACACTATATGAGACGAAATTGACAAGAAAATAAACTTTGGCTCTAGATATAGCCCCTTTACATCTAATTTTTCTTGGTTTAGTTGTTCATGTGTATCTCATCTCAAATTTCAACGTGGTCCAGGTAGTCAAGACGAAAGGAGGATTATAAAGCCAGCAGTTAGGCATGTAATGGAACCTTTTGCATGATTAATGAATGCAGAAGGGTAAAAAGGCAAAGAGAAAAAGATGCGTGAAAGCTGGCCTGAACAACATTCCGTCGTTAAAACAAATAGCGCGGGCATCAACAGAATCCAAAACTCGATCTAAAAAACACATAATTATACAGGAAGAAAACCCCTAAGATAAGGCTGGGTGCTACACAAAATACTTGAGATGCTAATGTAGAGAAAGTTACACCACAAGAACTAAATATAATCTTTCTATTCCATTGCCAGTTTGTGTAATGGGTATTTCAAGTGGAAAACAAACGAATTAGTAAGGGACTTCCAATGTAAAAACCTCGGAAGTAACTTCCATTTTCTTTGCATTAATCAATTAAATCATGATACTGTTGAATTCTGCACTCGTATGAGCTTTCACTGGGGAGATGGGTACAGAGAGAAAAAAGAGGTAGAAGTATCAAAAAGTTAATTATGTTTATCTCTGTTGCAAAAGTGCGAGGAACCTGAATGTAATGTGTTCGCAAATGCTCCTTTTAGTCAAAATACCAGAGGAGGTTGCTGTATGTTTTCATTCATCTTGTATATTTCGTATAAATAAGTGGCGACCGCGCAAATTTGGATCCTTGATATTCTTCTAGTCATAACTTACTTCCTTTTGCAGTCCTCGGTTTGTCCTCGGCTTGTTTTTGACTTGATTCTCTTACTGCCTGAAATGATTTATGAAAAGATCACATATGCATGTCAATTACAATGATTGAAAATGTTCAAGGAGCAATTGCAGGATAACAAGGGTGAAAGAGCATGTTGAAGGGACTATGGAGAGAACTAAGAGCAGCTGACCAAAAATCAATTTATAAATCTTAACTAAAAAAACTAACAAAAAAATTTCAAAGTAATAGCAAGCAGCAGTTGGTTCATCTGTCAAACCTAAATAGGCACATGGCAACAAATCCACAGAGACCTTCATGAAGATCAACCACGGATCATTTAGCATAAAGTAACAAGTAGATCGACAAAAGGATCATGTAACCTTTTCCACAAGTCTTACTACATCTGACAAATGCACTCACAAGGAAGTTCTCCCTGCAAGTATCCTGCACTTAAATATGTCAAGGTGGATAATAGGGGTTAAGGATGGTAAAAGTTCACTAGAGAGGAATAGAAGGAGAATGGAAATGGAGTTGTGGAGATCTATTCTCATTTAGTTACATACATCTTTACATCACTGAATTCCTGATATAAATTCCTTTGTTTCTCCCTGAAAGTAGTATCATCCTTAAAAGATCACAAGTGTGGCAATGATACCTTTTTCCCTTAAAAATTCATAATAACTCCTCTGAATGTGGACTATTTGCTTGCTTGCAGAACTTGAATAGTTAACTTGGTAAAAGTGCAGTTTAGCAACTCCAAGAACGATTCAGCAAAAGTATAATGGTTGATATTATACTTATCTAACTCCTTTGTGATTTTCATCCCAAGAACGGATGAATTTCCAAGCTCTCTAATGTAAGGAAGACAGAAATATAGAAGCAATAAGTATCATGCCACCACTTGATGACAACATCCTTATAAGCAACTCTAGCAACACTTAGAAATTAGCTGCAACTCACAATGGGGCAGATGGAATGAAACATATCAGCACCAGTGCTTACACCAAACCAAGCAATTGAACCTTAAGAGATTCAGATTAAGCTAAAAATATATTACTACTTAAGCATAGTTAGGTGATAAAAATTTATATCCAAGAAACATGTCTTGCATTCATTTGCTTGGTGCAAACACCGAGTGCGGGTAAGCTGTTTCCTTCTCTTGATGCCCGGACTGTATATTAACTTAAAGACGACTAAGTCCTACACTGAATAACAACCACCTCAGAAAAGTAGAGTCGAGTATTGTGGATGCAAGGCAAGGCAGACTTTGGATCAAAAAGAAAATGCATTCTCAATTTAAAGATAAAAATGAAAAGACAGAACAAACTGAGCTATTCAACCATCATAATCAAGAGTGGCCATTAACTCCTACAAGTGATGGAATATACAGCTAGACCTCACGCCTTTGCACAGGAACAGCTAGAGGATAATTTTTGGTTTAATAAATGATAGTAACTGTTAATGCTGACAGACCACTAAGTAAAACAAAAATCAAGAGGTATCCAGATTCCATAACAGAGCATAAAAGGTTACTGCTGGCTAAAAGATGAAAATTTAGTTTTATCATCCAAGGATTTTAGAAATATGAAGAAAAATTAGTTACGGAAAAAAAAAAATCCTGAACAATACGCAGACATGAAGAAGCATAACAGACAGACAGAGGGTTGCAGACTGTATTTCACTCGACAAACTTTGAATTACTATTTAAGAACTAAGCAATTGAACTAATAAAGTTTGTAGATGACGAAGGATTTCAAAAATCTCAACTAAACGAAGAAAAATTACAAAAAGGAAAGTCCAAATTAGGTTGCACTCCATGTGTTAATCCTCAGGGACTTTGATTTAATAATACTTCAGTGGCATTGAAACACATTTCTGGAAAAGTTTTTTGGAGAATCCTTTTTGAATAATTTTAAACAAATAAAAATGTGGTCAAATAATTACTTTCTTTTGCTTGTTAATCTTTTTTTTTTTTTTGAGATAACCGGCCAAACAAAATTTCAAAATGCAGAAAATTTTTGAAGAGAAGTTTGCATGCCAAACACAAACTTCAATAGGGAAAAAATCACCTAACATTCATGGATACAGATGAACACTAATTCAGTGAGAGATCATGAAGATAGATATTGAATTCCTGACGCTTTTTGTATTATGTTTCTACCATTTTGAGAAAACAGAACAACATAAAAGAAAATTCCTATTTTTCTTTTTCACTGGTGCCTATTACTTCTTTTATCAGCAGTTCAGCACAGAGCTCAGAATAATCTTTTTCTAGACGACAACCCAAATAATTACAATGAAGTGGTAGAGATGATGCTTCGAATATCTGAAAGCTTTTTTAAGGCATATTACTTGATTAGCCCGGATTCTCCCACTATACATTAATTCAGGTCGTCACATAAAAGTAGTAAAAATGCTTCATACCTATTCATTGTTTTAATCAGAGAATGCTTCAGGTTTATATATTACGAGAGGAAGCAGGTAATTTGACAAAATTGTAAACAAACATGAAATAAGTTAAATAAGAAAACAATCAGCTTCACAATCTTATCCTCATAGGAAATGGAAGGAGAGCAAAGGATTTATATTTAGTCCATTATCACAGTTACAGCATATACTAGGTCCTGATTTTCACTGTCCACATAACTCTCCTATCACCCAATAGAATCTGGATACAGGGGTGAACATGCAACACAGGAACATATTTCTCAAGTAGAGCTGGAAAAGGACTAAACAGTTGCTTTTTGTTAAATAGTGATGTCCGGGCCAAATCTTGGGCGCGCGCCTCGACTAAATCCCTAGGACAGTCTGCTACAACACATAAGTAGAGGTGCAGGTAATCTTGTCCGCCAAGACTAGAGCTGATGGACTCACAATGAATATCATAATGAGAGTCGAACCCGAGATCCACGCAGTTATTTCTATATATCAACCACTCAGCCTTCCACTTGGGAACTTGAAAGTAGTTGATCTAGCTGGTGCCTCTGTATTGTGTCATGTGCTGATACAATGTTTAGATGGTAAGTGCTAATGTGGATGCCAGTTTACTACTAAAGTTGGTTGGAATTGGTTATGCCACGTACTGATGATTTGTGATAGCAGCAACAATCAAGGCATCAATGTTGGATTCTTATTTGCTATCATATGGTGTGCATGATGACAAATGGTGAGGATGGAGGAAATTTTTTGTCAAATGATGAGGGAGGAAGAAATTTTTTATGAGTCATGTGCCAACAAGACTCATACAAAAACGGGCGATATGGACAGTGAGGATTCATATAGCCGACTCCAACTTGTTTGAAATTGAGGCATTGGTCTTGTGCCAACAAAGGGAACGGGGTCCATTCTCTTCCTCTCAAATTTGTGCAAAATAATCATGTTTACACGCCTATCAAGACTTTTAGTAAAATTTAGAAGTGATGGGCTTATGACCACTAACATCACGGATTGCACCAACATAGACACACTCGATATCTGCATCATGATAAATATATATGTAGGATGATAACAAACTTTTCTGTCAAGCAGAAGGATGAGAAAGTGTAGCAGCGCTCTATTTTGGAAATTTAGAAGGTAACTGGAGCTGAACGAGTTACAAAAGGGTCAACTAGATATGATCACGAAAATATGAGTGAGTACGAAAAAAAGTAAGATAGCATGTGGATTGGTAAAGGTACAATACCTTTCTTTTTCATTCCTTTCCTTTCCCTCCTATTCCTTCAAAATGATCAATTTCGGAAGAAGTGATACTGTTGAGATGTATACTGTTCTTACGCACTTCAATCCTACATTGTCATTGACATGCAAGAAGAAGAATATTACTACCTCCTCACTTTGTTTGACTTTCACCTTTGGTCTGTCCTGAAAAAATTACCTCTTTCTCTATGTGGAAAATTTTATCATCTAGAAAGCCAAATTAACGTAGATGACACTGTTATCTGTTACTTAGAATCTATATGCAATCTCTATACCAACTTCAATTCTTCTAAATAACATATAAACCCTAACAAAATATAATAGTAACTCAATAAAACGTTATTCTTTTAATAGACAAGAAAAGTCACCAAATTATACAATTTTGGAAAGAGGAAGTTCTTCCTAATGGGAAATCCACTTTTCTATCTCACAAGAAAGCATCTCGAGTAAATGGACAATTAACATAACAAATCAAACTAGAGACAAATAAGGTCAAATTTGTGAGGCAAATTGAGAACAACGTTCAAATTAATAGTAATATTTCAACCATTTTCTTGATGTGTAAATGCATTTGCACAAAGGATCAAGTTCCACCAGGCACCAACAGCTCCACAAGACAAAGTCCTGTGGTGCAGATGCAGCTTACCTGAAATATTTCGGTGCCTTTTGAATATTTACCTATATTATACTGGATACTTGCACTTGCACCGAATACTCTATAACCTATGCACTCAAAATCCTACAAGATCTAATTTTTATCATGCAAGGCTGTTTGCAAGTCATGTATATTCGATGTTAGCTTCCACAAACTGATTCTTGTTGAAACTTATTATATCCTCATATAACAGCAGCTCAGGTTATAAGGACTGTTACTAACTATTCAAAGTGGCATGCTCAGAAGCCATAACATAAAGGAAACAACTTTCAGTGAACAAGAGGCACTCAATTAATTCCTGAACTTTGATTCGCAACTTCTCCTTGAAAAACACCAATCTGCAATAAGATCAATTCCCAAGCACCACAACTGCTACTACTATGACTCAATCCTAAATTAGTTCGGTCAGTTACATGAATCCTCTACATCCACTACACTCCATTTGGGTCCGCTTCATTCCTATACTTTATAATTATAACAAACTGGAGGGTTCTCGAAAACTAAGAAAGAAACAATTCCCAGATGGCCTAAACAAAAGGTTAAATTGCGGGATCAACAGGCACATGTAGAATACAGCAAATAATTGGAGAGAGAGAGAGAGAGAGAGAGAGAGAGAGAGAGAGAGAGAGAGAGAGAGAGAGAGAGAGAGAGAGAGAGAGAGAGAGCGAGCGAGCTAACCAATGAATGCAGAGGTGGCGGCTCCATATGAACAAATCGGAGAGACATCTTAGAGATCTCAGAGATAGCAGCCTCTCGAATATCAGCAAGGTCGCTGGTTAACTCCTCATAGGCTGCCTCGAATGCCTCCTGCCAAAACTTAGGCAATCTGATCCGAGGAGTATTAGTATACACATCCCACATATGCTTCACCAACTTCTCCCTCTCTTCCATTTCCTACCAAATAAGATCAAATCATTTTCTCAAAGAATCAAATCAAACACTATTATAATTTACCCCCTGCATCCAAAATATATTTAACAATTTTAGCTTATGAATAATCAATTTAACTAATTCTCCTAGATAAATCGAACTAGATTAATTCCTCGTTTTTAAATTAAAAATTTGCAATTCTTCTCATATCAAAATGAAAAGGAAAAAAAAGAAGTTAAGTTACATACATACTGTTTTTTAAAAGTATCAGTGGGTTTTAACCTATAATAGCAGGTTAGTAACCATTTTTACTAGATTATCAAAAGATTTACCTGTATTACCCAGTGAGTGATCCGACTGTATAAATATTTTCTAAACTGAAAATGTAAATAGTTTGTACACTATGAATGAATTTTAACATGTGATAGCACGTTAATTACCTTCTTTTACTAAATTACCGATTAATGTTATCAGAAGATTTACATGTAATTAATTAACTATTAAGTGACATGATCGTGTATATATTTTTGACACCTTTCACTGCATTGAAAAACATAGTCAAAATTGAATAATAATGGATGACATAATTTACAAAAAGTAAAAGTATAGGGCATAGTAAACGTACGATGACGTCGAGATCATCGGAGAGAGGAAGGTTGAAGTAATCGGAGAGACCGTTGAGGTTGCCGGCGGACCATCGGAGAGTAACAGTACCAGTAAACATTGACCAAAATGCTAGCAAAAGAATAGCGGCTAATGCCCAGAACTTGTACCGACGGCGACCGAATATTGAGGCATCAGATGTGGAAATCTTCGAATGTGTTGTAGGCGTAGATACTGGTATGGATTCGTCATCCTTCATTTCCAAAATGATATACTCCTATGTGTGTAAATTTGTTTAGTATTTCGTACTCTTAAACTCTGTGTCTGAAGTTGAGTCAATCTGAAAGAGAGAGAGAATCTGTAATTCTGTGTTACCGGAAAAAGGAATTGCGGGCTAGCCACGTTGAATGGAAAGAGTTTGGAATTACGTGCGGATTGGATTTGTAGTAAAATATGGTTACAGTCGGCGAGTTTGGTTAGCCCAACTAGCACTATGGATATTGGGCTAATCATTTGTTCGGGCGAAGTGCACAAATAAATATCCGATTTTGGGATCGTTGTTTAAAGTGCAGCTAAGGTTGAAATGTTTTGGCAAATTTATCCACTTTGGACCAATAACAAACATACGGGACTAAAATTATAAAAGTTATAGTATGTATAAAGTTTAGTTATTTCGGACAATTTTTGCCTCAGAGTAGCTTTATCAAGGCAAACTTCGGACATCGTTTGCTGAAGTTGTGGCCGTGGCAACGCAAAACTTTTGTTTTACTGAAGTTTGGCATTGGCAAGGCTAAACATCAGACATTTTTTAAAAATTTGGCCTAATAATCCGGAAACTTCAAAAAAAATTATTTGAAGTTGACATAATTCAATAACATCAGGCATTTGAAGTTAAGTAAATTAGTTGCTCTTCAGTTGACCTATAAAAGACCAAGGCTAAAACGAAAACATAGACCTTGATCGCTTGCTACTGTTAAATGAACTACTTGCCGGTTGCCACAAAACATGAAGATTTGACAAAATATGTAGTCCAAGCAAAAAATTTCTAATGTCATCACCTGTTATTGTTAAATGAATCACACAAAAACAATCACTATTCGAAATTTAGATTTTCGCCAAAGATTTAGATTTGGTGTATGTTATTTGCTGGTGACATAGTTTTAATTGACGAAGCGCGGGGTAGTGTTAATGAGAGGCTGGAGGTTTGGAGGCAGGCCCTAGAGTCTAAGGGTTTCAAGTTGAGCAGGACCAAGACGGAGTACATGGAGTGCAAGTTCAGTAACGGTACCCAAGAAGTGGATATGGAGGTGAGGCTTACGCAAGTCATATCCCCAAGAGAGGTAGTTTCAAGTATCTTGGATCTATAATACAAGGTAACGGGGAGATTGATTAAGATGTCACACATCGTATCGGAGCAGGATAGATGAAGTGGAGGCTCGCTTCCGATGTCTTGTGTGATAAGAATGTGCCGCTGAGACTCAAAGGTAAGTTTTACAAGGTTGTAGTTAGACCGACTATGTTGTATGGAGTAGAGTGTTGGCCGGTCAAGAACTCTCATACCCAGAAGCTAAAAGTAGCTGAGATGAGGATGTTGAGGTGGATGTGTGGGCATACCCAGTTGGATAAGATTAGGAATGAAGTTATTCGGGAAAAGGTGGGAGTGGCCCCTGCGGAGGATAAGATGCGGGAGGCGAGGTTGAGATAGTTCGGGCATGTTTAGAAAAGTATAGAAGCCCCAGTTAGAAGGTGTGAGCGGTTAGCCTCGGTGGGCAGAAGGAGGAGTAGAGGTAGGTCTAAGAAGTCTTGGGGAGAGGTTATTAGGCGGGACATGGCGCCGCTGGAGCTAACTGAGGACGTGGCCCTAGACAGGAGGGTGTGAAGGTCAAAAATTAGGGTAGAAAGTTAGTAGGTAATCGAGCGTTTCTCTTTGTCTTACTCAGTTCGCTAGTATTAGTGTTAGTATGTTATCTTTTATTCATAGATGGCTATTACTACCTAGAGTTTGACTGCATTCTTGGATTCGATCTTATTTCATCTTGCTGTTATTCCTACTTGTTACAATTACCTTTTCTTTTTCAGTCGTTCTCTGGAAGAGGGTCTATCGAAAACAACATCTCTGCCCTTCCAGGGATAGGAGTAAGGCTGCGTACATTTTACCCTCCCCAGACCCACTCGTAAAAAACTACTGGGTTTGTTGTTGTAAAAATTAGTTATAAGTTAAATGTGAGTGTCCAAATAGGTTTTTCGTGAAATTTTTGCGATTTGGTCGTATCTAATTAGCACTTGATGGATGTTGGCCGAACTTGGGTTGATCTTCATGAATATCCACTTTTAGAGCTAATCTTGAAATATAATCAGCATTAAAAACAATCATAACTTAAAAACAGACATTCGCTTCTTCTTCTCCGCTTCTTATGTGTTTGTTCTACTACCACTTGTCCGTCTTCTTCCTTTTCTTTGCACAAATAAGAAAGAGAGTGAATCACGAAAGAATTTGGATTTGCAAACTTCAATAACTGCCATTTTCAAGCTAGCAAGTTGTTCTAAAGGATGTTGGCCTAACTTGCGCATCCTCCACCCTTTGAAAGATTTTCAAAATTACTAGTTCAACTCAACTCTAAGCCACTCGTGGATTGTTCAATTTGTAATAAATAACACGGAAGAGTGCAACCCGGTGCACTAAGTTCCCGTTATGCGCGGGGTCTGAGAAAGGACCGGACCATAAAGGTCTATTGTAAGCAATTTTACCTTGCATTTCTGTAAGAAGTTATTTTCACGGTTTGAACCTGTGACCTCCTTGTCACATGACTGTAACTGTTACCAGTTACACCGAGACTTGCTTTCAAATAACACGGAAGATTTGGTAGAAAGAAAGTGGGGTCAGAGAAGGAGACATCATTATTCATCATATAAAGGGTATCATTAGATAATGTTCAACCAAAAGAACATTAAATATATAATAAAGTTGGGGTAAAAAAATAAAACCTTGTACTCACAGTCCTAGATTAAAATTATATACAAATTGGGTTGTGATAATAAATCAATGTCACTTACAGAAAATCCTGCCTAATCCACTTACAGGGCCTAGTGGGTGGCGTTGTCTAAAGGTTTAAAATACAAAACTGGCCCATAGTTAAAAATTATTTGTATTTGCTAGCCGAAAATTATATAAAATTTACATAATTTTTTTTTATATTATATACATACAAATAATATATATTTTATTGACAATTATTTGTAAGAACAGCTAAAAATATACTCTTCCGGAACGCAAGTGAATCTTGCTAATCAATTTTCTTTTGTATGTGTCAAGATTTAAGAATTTACTCATGCCCAATTGCCATTTCGATTGCAACTCATTTTTCTTTTCATTTTCCTTATTTTAAGATATGTTTTATGGTTTTGATTTCTGAACATTATAAGATTCAGGGGCGGATGCAACATAGAATTACTGGGTTCAACTAAATTCAGTACTTTCGACGCAGAGTATAAATTTATGTGTAAACAATCAGTAAAATTACATAAATAGTAGATATTAAACCCATAACTTTAAATACTGAACTAATAGAAGTAAAATTTTAGATCCGCCTCTAATAAGATTGTGTTTTCATAGTGTTTGTGAGACACGAAATGTAAGATATGTAATATATTGATTACTTTATAACAGTAGGAAGGTATTTGATTTGTGATTACGAAAACAGTTTTCCTTGAAAAATAGAATAAAGAGTTCCGATATTGTTACTGATTTAGTGAATGAAATAATTAAGAAACATAAAAAACGGTTGAAGTTGGAGTGCGGTGTTATTCACATACTAGATGCGTTGCGACCGGAAAATCTTTTTGGCGTGCACCGAAAAGATATGGTTATGGGAATTCTTTTGTTAGTTCATAAACTATTTTGTTAAAATCTGTAAGATAAATAAAGTCTCTTACATTTGAGACTCCAGTTAAAGGAAAAAAGGTGCTCAAGCCAGTATTCCAAAAACTCCCTCGTATATGTAATTGTTTACCCGAAAAACGAATAGAGTTAAATTTATACATAGTTCTAAGGATACGTGATATAAATTGATACAAATTGCGAAAAATATATAAATAAATATCGAAATTAGTTATAAAAGAAATGAATACAAACCGAATGAACTAGTTGGCCTAAGCCTTCAAGTTTATCACCTCCAAACTGAGTGAAGAGCAATTGATAGAAAAAATAATATCACTAAATATCAAAAGCCAAAAAACATAATATTTGCTCTCTTTTCTGTATATCTCAGAATGAATGTTTGAATCAATGAATGTCCCTTTGTACAGATGATAATCACTCTTAATATAGTGGGGGAATCCTACTTTTGGATACAATTAAAAATACATAGTGGGGATCCCATGAAAGATTAATAAATTAGTTTTTCTTTGAGTCAAGCCATGATTTACGCCGAGATTCTCTCCCCAAATGCGGCTATAGTGTCTTTTTTGTTTCTTGGCTCGATCTCGATCTTGGCCGATCTCAATCTCGGCCGGTCTCTGGTCTCGAGCTCGACCTTGACTCGGTCTCGATCTTGGCCGATTTCGGTACTGATCGGTCTCTAGGTCTCGAGCTCGATCTTGACTCGGTCTCGATCTTGGCCAGTCTCGGTATTGATCGGTCTCTGGGTCTCGAGCTTGACAACCTAACTTCGTATCATGGCTTGATATTACAATGATGAACCTTGGACCATCGTGTTCCAATCTCGATTATTCATACGAAGGGCAGACTCGATTTTGACCATATACAGATAGTCCCATCGTTTCTCGGAAAGAAGATGACGAGAAACGATATGAATTTCCGAAATTCGACTTGGTGAATGATGATATCATCGACGAACCCGATTGTGACGTATGCGACAAACGTCCCGTCGGTCCAGTTGCCAAGGCATTAAATGCGCGCCAGTCCATGGTCGGCCACTACCGGTTTTGAATTGTCGTTGTGAAACCAATAAATAGCTACTTTCCTCGTCATTCCAAACTTTTACTTTCAAATATTTTTCATTCCTATCTTCATAGTTCTTTGCCTTCTCCAAAGCTCTCTATTTCCAGGTTTTCAAATTTCTTTGCTTATTCTTCTTAAAATACCAAATACTTCAATCTCCATTCTCCTTTGTTCACAAAAACTAAATGGCAAAAACATTTAAAACCGTTCAGCAAAAAAAGGTTGCTTCCTCATCTCGGCCGGCCGGCGAGAAACTAGTGGTGGAGCCACGCCTTGAAGAACTTATTCTCGGGGTGTGTGTTATTGATTCTGACTTTAAGGTCGAGAAACCCTCATCGGTTGCTGGTCGATGCGAGCCGTTATCGAGATATATATGCTCGATACCCAAAAGTCTTCTCGATCTAGTGAAGAAAGATTGCAATTGGAAAAACAAAGAGGTTGTGATAGCGGCACCGGAGGAAGCGATCACTACCCACGTGGAAGGGTACCTGAGTGTTTACACTTATCCTTTCATGCTGGGTCTTGGCCAAA